TTTTTTTTTTTTTTTTTTGGTTTTTCATCATAGTTTCTCCTCTGTTTTGTTTGTCTTCTCCTTCGTTGTCATTGTCTTCGTCTACGTCATCGCGTAGTTTCATCTTCTGCTGTTGTTGACGTTGTTGTTGTCGTTGACGTCGCTGTTGCTGCTGCTACTGCTACTGCTACTGCTTCAATATATGTACACAAATCGGGCTTCTTTTGATTAAGTGTTCGGGTTATTGTTGTTGCTCAATAACGGCAGACAACTACTTCGGGATAGTTGTCAAGTTCCTAAGCAACCAAAAAGTTTAAATTTCATTGTGCAAAGAAAGTATTTTTCATTATCTTTCTTTTACTTATCAAACAATTATAATTCACGGAAGACCAAACAGAAAACGGGAAAGTAATGGCATCAATACCGAAACGTAGACCAGTTAAATAGCCGATATTCAAACAGTTAAAAAGCACTGTGATTACAAATGAACAGAAATGACTGATCAGTTGAAAAATAAGTTTTAATGGTTAATCAAAAATTCCATGTTTATTTTTTTTAATGGTTTTTAGCAACAGCAATCCCCCTCCAAAAAAAAGGTATCAAAAAAGAAGAGTAGTTTGCTTATTGTATTGTTTCGTATTAAAGTTTTGTCCTGTTCTGTTTGTTTCTTTTTTTGCCCAATTTCCTCTCCTTTATTTCATCTCTATAATATCACAACTTTTTTTTCCTTCTATTTGTTGAGAAGCAGAAAAAAAAAAGAACAATTAGTTGTAAATTAGTGATATTATTTTGATCCCAATTGGTGAATGAAAAAAAAATTTCTTTATTTAGCAATTTATATATTTCTTTGATCGCTATTACAATACTTCAACAATCCGACAATAATAAAAGAGCACAAAAAAAAGACTCTCAAATAATTCAATGGATTTGCTTACATTTCATTTCTCACCACTTATTTGTTGATTATTTAACAAAAAATGAATTCAATTGGAAATTATTTATTCTTTCTATAACAAGATTTTCATTATCCAATCCAACAGTGTCACTTTAAACAGTGGAATACAA